ACATGGGTATGTGCACATATAGGTGCCCATGGAGGCCAGAAGAGGGCATCATATCCCCTGGAGCTGCAGTTACAGACAGTTGTGAGTCACCCACAGCTGGGTGCTGGGAAACTAGACTCAGGTTCTCTGGAGGAGCAGTATGTGCTTTTAACTACTAGGTCATCTCTCCAGCACATGGAGATAATGATGATTACTGTTATTTATTATTTTTTCTATGTATGAGAGTTTTGCCTGCAGGTATGTAAGTACACTCATGTTGTGCAATGCCTGTGGGGGCCAGAAGAAGGTGTTGGCTCGCCTACAGATAGTTGGGACCACGTGGGAGCTGGGAACAGAACCCAGGGCCTCTGCAAGAGCAGCTAGTGTTCTTAAGTGCTGAACCATCTCTCCAGTCCTGGAGATAATAACTTTTTTTTTTTTTTTGGCCTTTTTGAGACAGGGTCTCCCTGTAGCCCCAGCTGTCCTGGAACTTACTATGTAGACCTGGCTGGCCTTGAACTCACAGAGATCCATCTGCCTCTGCCTCCCGAGTGCTGGGATTAAAGGCATGAGCCACCACACGCCCGGCTGAGATAATAACTTTTAAAAGGAGAGATGTGTCCAGCTTCTCCTGGGCAATTTCATTCATTTTTGTTTTTTTTTTTTTTTGTTGCTGATTTTTTTTTTTTTTGAGACAGAATCTTGCCGTGTGGCCCAGGTAAGCCTTGAATTCATGATCCTCCTGCCTCAGCCACTCAAGTACTGGGATTATGGGTATGCACCACCACCCCTGGGCCATTTCTAAGGACCTTTTCTTCCCTCTTGGATTCCACTCCCCTCACCCGCACATCATACACATCTGGCTGAACTTCATAGTTCATAATTTTCCTTCTCTTAGAGTTCATGGCTAGGCTCCACTTCTCCCTATTTCTCAGTATTGGAAGGGCTCCATGATTCACCACCTTGCCTGCAAGCGAAGGGCTATTCCTGAGCTTGGGACATCTCCCTTTCTCTGGGCTGACTGCCATCATCTCTCAAGAATTCTCTTAGACATTTCCTCTTCCAGGAAGCTTTCATCAGACCTAAGAGAGGGCCCCTACTGACTCTATGGATCTGATCCCGGGTCTGGTCATACCATCCTGCTGACTGGCATCTCTCCTCTGTAGAGCGCACACCCAAGGACATCATCTAGAAGATGTTCACTGTTGAACATCTGGCTTCGGCAGAAGGCGAGTGTTCCATAAACACTCATTAATTAAATGCACGAGTGCACCAATGAAGGGAGGGGTGGAGTACAAAATAGGTTAATGCCTGTGAGATGCTGAGTATAGGTGAATACAGTGTAAGCTTCTCATAATGTGCTCTTACAGGCTATCAAGTCCTATCCTGCTCATGGATGTAGTGCACTGTGTGCCTCATAGGGTCCCTGCAAGGTGAGTGAGGGGGAGGTGCCCCTCTGGAGCACAGCCACAGCTGTCTTTCCCCAAGCCATGCTCCATAGATGAGGCTCAGCAGATGGCCTTGACTGCTCTTTCAGTAACAGGGGCTGTAGACTCTCCCAGATCCCTGAAGTTCTCAGGAGCAGGGTGGTCCCTTCCAGGGCTCCCGAACATTTCCCTCTCTTGACTTGTGCTTTCTTATCTGCCCAACTGATTGCTTTCGGCATTTCAGATCCATATTCCTCCCCGTTGGCCTGTTCCTTCTCCACTAACCTGACACTTGCTTACCCTGGACATCCAACTCACCTCCTCTGTGTATCCAGCTAAAGTTCCTGCAGTTGTTTTCTTCTACGCCTCCTGGTACCTAGTAATATCTATAACATAGAATGTGTTGATTCAAAGCAACAGTGAGGGGCTGATGGTGATAATTATAGCTATTGAGAGCTTCCTCTGTTCCAGGGACTCTGCTGGAAATCCTACACATTTCACTGGGAACCCTTGGTGTCAAGAGGGTTCTATCTACAGCTTATATTGTCTCTATTGTCATTTAGCCTGGCAGACAGTACAGAACAGGCATTGGGAACTTGGGCTTTAGGACTAGGGTCACTAATGTACAGCTACCCAAGCCTGTCCTTTAATAGATTCCAGACTTCAAGACACAGACTTTTTGAGCTTCCCTGTTTTAACAAAAGATAGGGCTTGGTGAGAGATTACTCTGCAGGGTTTGGTGAGAGGCTAAGATGAACTCTCCTAGGTAAAGTGCTCATTATCTGGACTTCCTGGCCTGGGGTAAGTCTTTTATAAATGCCCCCCTTGAACCTTGGAAGACAGATGGTTTATGTAGCTCATCTTTGTATCCGTATTGCCTAACACTTTGCTTGACTTGGGTGGAGACTCCTTGCAAGTCCAAGGAGGTATTCCTCCCCTGCATTGTGATGGACAGTCCCTGCGTGGCCTTCAGGCTTCCTGGCCTTCTTTCACCCTGGATGCCTGTGCACTCTTCTATTACTAGAGCTGTGAAGAATGAGAGTACAGTGTTGGGTAAGTCCTGCTCCCTCTTCCACACACTGTGCCCACATGGGATGAAGGTGCTAACCCTTTGCTGTGAGACTGAAAACCAACTGAGAGGCTCATGCTACCAAGTCATTTCCCACCAGCTCTTGGTCATCTGGAATAGTGGAGTTTGTAGATGGTTGTGTGTGGAATACACACTCTGAGACTTTGTGTATTATAAGCACTGGGATCCCTGAGCCAAGGAGATGTCAAACTGTCCCTGCAAGTGGAAAGCTAGTGCCAAGGAAAGCCAGTTGTCAACCTGCCACCACCCATAAAAACTGGAGACAAACTCTGAGGTCCTGAGCCCAGTTTTGCTGGGAAATTTCAGAATACAACTGTTGCTCAGGGGCCAGGATGGGCAGTCGTTTTCTCTAGAAAAAGTGTTGTTTGAGGGCCCTGGTTTCTTAAGACAGCAGTTTCTGTTTGGAAACGTCAATAGGGGTTCAACATCAAAAATAGATAAATGAGGGGCTGGAGAGATAGCTCAGCAGATAAGAGCACTGTCCGCTCTTGCAGACAACCTAGGTTGGGTTCCAAGCACCGACAGTCCATAACTCCAGTTCCAGGGGATCTGACACCCTCTTCTGTCCTCTGTGGGCATGACACAGCATGGGTGCACTTATATACATGCAGACAATACACTAATGCACATAAAATAAAAAAGAATGAAAGAATGGGGAGACTGTCCTGTTTCCTCCCCACCATCAAACCCCCCTCAGCTCCCTCTCCTCCCTGTTCTGCTGAGATACAGGACTGGGATGTGGGGGTCCTGGGCAGGTGTGATTCACCTTCTCTGTAAAGTCTGTCCTCTGCCTCTCCACATTCTCACCAGACAGAAGGGAACCACAGCTTTGGGTTCATCCTGTGCAGGAGGTGGTGTGTGTTCCTATTCTGTAGCAGGGATAGGAGGAAGGAACAGTTATCTCTGTGGGTGGGCAGGTCTTCTGAGACACTGTGATGTCCTTATGCCCAGCTGCTCTCATGGGGGACTGTGAGAATCTGACCAGAGGGCCTGTGTTGTACTTCTGAGGCACCTACTGGGCTTAGGGAAGTTGCCCCCTTATCTACAGAGGCAGTAGTCCCTGCCTGTGCTGACAAGAAACACTTTCTGGAGCACTGGGCTGTATTTTGGACAAGTTTTGGAAAATCAGTATCCAGGTTGTACCCTTCCACAAAATGCATGTTCACACTGATGGTGTGCCTTAGGGACCAGTGCTTAGCCAATGGCCTTTGAAAACAAATACTTCATTTTACTGAGGATGTTATTTTAAAACGCCCTATGAGCTGCAAATAATTGGACACACTTGGGTTTGAAGCCCAGTCGGCAGACCTGAGGGGCCTCGAGTGTAGGAAGAGGAAGGCACCCAGAGGCAGGTTATGGGGGGGAGGGCAACGCCCGCCCTCAACTGGCCTTGGGGTAGGTTGGCAAGGCTCACTGGGCGGGGGACTGAGTAGTGTCTGGACTCACAAAAAAGCTGCCACTAACGGCGAGGTAGGAGGATCTCAAAATAGGGAGCAGAGCGACCTGAGCTTCCATGATGAGGATAGCGCAGGAGCAAAATGCCCAGGAAGGAGGGAGGGAGGACAGGAAAGGGGAGGCGCCTCTCTCACCCACGTTCCAGGGTCCCCAAGTACGCCACCTGGGTGGGAGCATGTCACACACACTCACGCGCCCACAGCCACATCGCCGCTCTCCCTCAGGGCCCTGGCTCATCTCTGCAAGCCTATGGGCATCAGGCCTCCACCGGCCACGTCGCCGCCACCTGCTGCTGTACCCCCAGAGCTGGGGAACGTGCATCTCAGTGCCTGCATCCATCTACCTTCACCCACGCACTGGTGCCTTATCCTCTAGGGCCAGGCTAAGGCCACATACATATTCCCTGGCCCCCTCCCCAGCAGCATCGTGGAGGCGGAGGGAGGAGCTCCGCTCATGGACAGAGGCCTTCCCCTTCCCGCCCGCTCCCCCCACCCCCCACCCAGGGGTTCTCCCCTCCCCTCCCTTTTCTGTCCCTCCCCTCGGCTACCGCAGCCCAGTTCGTCGTTCGCGTCAGCGTGGGCTCCCTGGAGCGAGTAGCTAGGTAACAGGGCTGGCTCCTCCGCAGACCCCGGCCAGGGAAGCCCGCGCGCATCATCAGCAACTGCGCCGCGGGCGGGGGGCGCATAGATCCTCCCCCATCCGGGCCTGCAGACCCCCGGCTGGCTCGCGGTCCCCTCTCAGGATGCCATAAGGGTGCCGATCGCCGCCGCCGAACTGCCCCTCCCCTGCTGGGACCCCGACGCCGCCCGTTCATCCTCCCCAGCTGGTGCGCCCGACAGCCCGCGCAGCCGGGTTGCGGTGGCCACCGGTGAGCTGCGATCTGGGGTTTGGGCCGGGGCTCGGGAGGGGGTGGGGACCACATAACAAGCAGGGCCGCTTGGTGGCCGGCAGACCCGCCATGTGCTAAAGTTTCTGGGGCTCCGCAGCCCAGGGCTCGCAGCGCGGGGCGTAGAGGCGCGGTGGGTGGGGCGCACTGTGCAGCCCGCCCCCGGCCCCGGCGGAGCGCAGCTCTACGCGCTCTCACGCTCTCTTTTTCTCCTTCTTTCCTCCGCGCTGCCTCCGGGTGAGATCTTCCCGCCGAGTCTGGGAGCGGGGCATGAGGAGCCACCGGGTATCGCCTGGAAACGACCCAACTGCGCTCACACCTTGCCAGCGGCTGACGGGGACATGAGCAGCACACTCGGGGTTCGGCGCCCGGCGGTCAGCCTCAGCCGGCGGCGGCCAGTGGGTCCACACTGCCCAGGAGAATGAGGCAGGAACCCGGCGCCACCTCTTTCTCGTCCTCCTCCTCTTCGCCTTCCTCTGGCTCCGGCGCCCCGGGCCCGGGTCGGGTTGTGGCTCTGCTGCATGCCCTGCGCGCCCCCCACCTGCCTCCGGATGCTCTTCTCGGTAAGACAGGCCCTTCAATCGGGAACAAAGCCCCTTCGCAGAGCTCGGGTGCCGTCTTCGAGCCCCCTCTCTGGCCATCACCCAGCGTTTGTAGTCAGTCCCTAAATTCCGTTTGGAGGCTGAACTCCCAAGGCACGGTTAAGACCCGATGCTTTCCTGGGCTATCTGAGACACAGCAAGGGGCTCGGCACGCAGGCAGATTAGGCAGGAGATTTCTTTGGTCTCCATAACCATCTATGTATGCACCCTGGGATCAGATTGCTCACTTTGGAGACTACTGATGTTTGATGGCTGTCCAGGCTGTCCAGGGCAGTGTATCTCCAAACCACTCCAGGAAGTAGGATTCCCTTGGTTCTTCTCCTTGGTTCAGGTGAGGAAACTGAGGCCCAGGGAGGTTGAATGTGTTAATCAAGGTCACAAGGGTGGAGCTGGAGACTAGGGTTAGAAACCAAGGTGCTCTCCATCAAACTGACCTCTTGTCACAAACACACCTGCCTCATTTCTCCACTAGCTGCTTCCATCGCAAAAGCCATTGCATGTGTGTGAAAATACTCCTTCCAGTGACGTTGAAATGGAATTTCTGGTAGTGTGTATTTTCATCCACTCCCCCATCTAATGGTGCCAAACCTAATGCCTAATGTGTGCTGTAACTGTGAACCCACTTCTCTGAGTTCGGGTGGAGGACAATATGTTTTTCTGATGCTTTCTTTCCCTGGCTCTGTTTTCCAGGCCTCTTGATGGATAGAGAGAGATATCATCAGTCCCTCCCATGGGTGTCCCTTATGTGCTGTATGCCCCAAGGCAAGCTCAACCTCACAATGGCTTCCTCAGCCTTTCCCTGGGAAAGACCCATCAGGACCACCTGGGCTGGTTGTATAAGTCTTGGAGAATGCTATTTTACAGGAGATGGGGGGGGGCTGACCCCAGATGACCATCCTGTAGGGGGGCCACCCAGGTCCCATCTTAGAGTTACCATCTCTCTGTATTAGCAGAAGTTCACACTTCTTAACCCAGAGGGAGAGGGAAGAGGCATTGATACAGATGTGAGGCCCTTTGCTTGTTCTGATTCCCAAATTTGCAGCTGGTGACTATTTGCTTAAATGTGTGATCCTAACCAGGCAGGCCGTGGGGAATCATATGGTCCTGCTCTGAGCTGGAGTGTTAAGGGGCTGAGTGTTGAGCTCACCTGTCTGTGTCCCAAAAGTGATAGTGTTGGTTCAGGGGAAGACCCTTAGCCACAGGGTCCTCAGTTTCCCTGTTAGTAAAAGAAATAGAGCTGGACCGAGTAATGTCTCTGTTCCCTCCTAGCTACAGGGTTCTGTGAGTGAGAGAACTGGTGGAGTATAGGCTGAGCTGGGCTGTGGGAGCCCATCAGTCACAGGCCTGTGGACTAAGAGGTCTGTACTAAATAAATAGGTTGTTGATTTCCAAGAAGAGGGTTTGGTACTGAAGGCGCTTCAAGAGTCAGGTTCAGCTAAAGGAGGCGATGCCTGTGTTAGGCTATTGTGGATTATTTATTGGGCAAACACATGGCAGCTATAAAATGTCCCAAGGTACCAGATCGGGGTCAAGAGATAGGTTAGACATTCCAGTTGGAGAGATAACATTGGTGCCTAAGAATTGATAAAATATAGTGTACCATCTAGATGCTCAGCAGCCTAGGAGGCCACATGGCCAACAAGCTGCCCCTCTAAAAAGAGTCCTTACATTGCATAAATGAAACCCAGAATAAACAGTTAAAGTGTGCAAGTACAGTGGTGGTATGACCTCCTGCCCCTGCTGTGTTGATTATGTTAGTGACAGGCGAAGCCCAATGAGTGTACATTCAGAGAGGCGGTGATGACAAAGGTAGGCAGCAAGGGGGTTCAAAGCCCGACTTCA